CCCCCCCCCCCCCCCCCCACCTTTTTTCCTCTGTATTTTGGAATTGGTTTCCTTTCACATGTATGTAGGGGCCTTATTTCTTTTTGCCCCTATAGATCAGCTCATGTATTATTGCCCTTGTGTATTAGGGGATAGCTATCATTGTTATGGCCAAAGCCTGTTGAAAATTTTGTAAATATCAGTTTTCTGGTGGTACACACCAATCAATCATTAGAACAATTGCCATTCTTCACCTTGAAGGCCCCTCCCTGTGCAGTTTTTGGTAATTAATTTGTTGGCCAGGTTTCAGTTCACAGAATGCCACATACATTGAAATCTGATTCACCAGTTGTTCTGGTCTACTGGGCATCTTGATGTAGTGTGTGTTTGTTATGTCAGGTCAGTAGTCGGGTTTTGCTGTTGAAAGTTTACAATTGATCTTGAACTAAAATACGAGGGTTTTTAAGTACGGACAGCATTCATGGCAAGACTGTTATTATAGCCCCCTGGGCTTGTACAATATTGTTCACTTTATGTCGGCACTTGCACGATGGTAAAATGTGTTGTGCAATGGATGTTTAAAAGTACATTACACACATTCCACCAAGCGATGTGTGGGGATTGTCACCACAATTTGAAGCTAGTTTGATTCAATACAGGACATTCAGCCGCAACATGATTGATTGCTAGTGCAAAGAGCAAGAATGATGTAGTTGTCTCTGGTTTTGAAGCGGCTACACTTGGGTAGAAGGCCATCTCAGTTGATGTACACTTCGGGAAGGATTGCCCCTCCATCAAACCAATCAATCCTATGCAACTTGAAATATGTTTCAAGAACAAATTGCTCTGAAATACTTGCGTCAGTTTTGCCGTAATTTTACTGCAGTATATAAGAAAAATCGTTACTGAAGTATATACAAATTCTATCACATTGGAAATATATGAAACTGCCTGCAAATCTCTTCCATTTGCACTGAAACATACCACCAAGCTGAACTGATCACGACCAGGCCGAAGATTCAGGAGTCTACATCACTTTGGGGCATTATTCTAGACAAGAAAAAGTTTTATCAATTGACACTGGTAGGCTTAAATCTGAAGAGGTGCTAAACAATATTGATACTACACATCTGAAGAGAAAGAAATTAAAAATATGATGATTCCAAATACTAAATTCTTCATGAGGATTGCAAGCTAACAAGATGACTGGATCCTAATGAAGATCAGGGATTGTATGCTATTAAATTACAACGACAATGCCTAGCTACATATCACNCGAGGATTGCAAGCTAACAAGATGACTGGATCCTAACGAAGATCAGGGATTGTATGCTATTAAATTACAACGACAATGCCTAGCTACATATCACATACCATAAACAAACCAAGCACAAGGAATCAAATGACCCAGTCCCCGCCTTAATTAGAAGGGGTACACATTTCAGGAAATCACCAATATTTAGTTAAACAACTTTAACAAGATAAGATAAACATAGAGCTGAAGCTTGGATGTTACGAAAAGTTCAAGCTCTTCTATGAATAACTTGGATGGACTTGCAACCAAATGTGAGAAAATGAAGATGCATGCTTGATAGGTAGAGAGGGTAAAAATTGGATAGCTTACAAATTAGCTTCCTTTACCTCATATATACCTTATATCATTCAACCATTCTCTCCAATGAGATTAAAATGGAGACTCTACTTTCAAGAGCTATCAGCATTTTGCTTCCAATGAACAGCACGCAAAACATCAGACTTTCAATTGACGGGGAAAACATAGCAAAATGATACTGGGTTCCTGATACACTTGGCCTCCTATAAATTAGTGGAGCTGAGGAAAAGAAACATATAGTATAACACAGACGGAATGAGAGGATTATGCATTATCATCAACAAGAAAAGAATCTCTGGATGAGCCAACCCAAAGAGCAAGAGCAATAGTAGATGGAAAACAAGTAGCATTAAAGCTAGCAAATAGTAAAAGGTGATTTCAACTGAGATACGATGGCTACATCCACTAGTATTGACCAAGGTCCATGGAGGATTAGCAATAGTTCTTACATACTCCACATGTCAACAAAAAGAAGAAAATCCGCACATGATTGGCAATTCAACTTTAAAGCAACAAGCAGCATGCAGGAGTCTTCTAAACATTTAATATCAAAAATAGTAATATTAACTCCGAAATAAGGGGTTGTACACTCTGCATGATCCTGGTGTAAAGTTTACCAAATTCAAGGCCAGAACATGTATAGACACTGCACATGCTGCATGTGCTCTTGATAAATCATGTTAAGTAAATAGAGGATATGGGCAAACTATTGCATACTACAAAATAAAAAAGAAGCTAGTTGTGGATAATAGTGAAAATACCTCACGTAAATCAGAGTTAACCCATTAGCTGCAGTCTTATATACTCTTTTCAGCTTACGAACAAACATCAAGATTCACAAGAATTGATCAACTACAGCTCTCCATGCACCAGCACCTTATTATTTGTTTTTAATTCTTTGGCTGCATTTTGCCCCATAGAATTGAGAGGGGAGAACCTCTAATTGGGAGTATAATCAGAAAGAAAAATGTGAAAGAATAACGGTGGGAGTACTACAGAGTAAGCACCATAATAGCTAAACAATCAAAGAAAATTCAAAAAAAGAAAACTAGGAAGAATTAAAGAAGAATGTGAGAGAAAGAATCCTTACCTGCTTAAATTATCAACACAAGTTTCCGACCCTCCTAGAACTTTCACAATAAAATTGGNGCTTAAATTATCAACACAATTTTCCGACCCTCCTAGAACTTTCACAATAAAATAAACAAATAGCATAAGTCTTTCATCCCCCGATTATGATCCGCCTATAAGTACGCTAAATCTGATAAGTTTGAACTGGTACATTGTCAAGAATCATAAGGTTCCGCACTCTGACAAAAAAGTTGAATGCACTCCCATATAAACAAAGCCANAATTGGTTCCTCATCACCACGAAGGAAAAGGACAAATTACAGTTGATAAACAAACAGCATAAGTCTTTCATCCCCCAATTATGATCCGCCTATAAGTACGCTAAATCTGATAAGTTTGAACTGGTACATTGTCAAGAATCATAATGTTCCGCACTCTGACAAAGAAGTTGAATGCACTCCCATATCAACAAAGCCAAAACAAGACATATCGACACTTTACAGCACACTGTAAAGAGATTATGAAGTAGCACATCACATTGACAAAACATAAATTCTTACGCCAGGCATGAGTTACTGCAGATACTTGCAAACTCTCTCCCCATGCAGGACTGATTAAGTTCAAGTTTGGTATCTTGATCGAGACAAAAAGTGCTGAAATGAAACCACAAAGCAATTTCATTGCATTCTTAAAGCAACCAATGAATCCAAAATTTGTTAATTCCAATGGACTACACAAAAGTAAATCAAACAACATCCAAATACATGATATCAAACAAGAATGTCGAAACCTAATTATCACCAAAATAAACATCATTATTGCCCTAATGAGAAAGAAAGAAAAAAGTGAAAAAGGAACCTTCAAGATTCTTGAGCCATCTTCATTTTCTTATGAGACCCAAAAGCCCTGCCAATGCTATCGACAATCTTCCTCTGCGATTCAAGAATCATCTCCATTCTCTTATTCTCCATCTCCATTCGTAACCTCTCCATCTCTCTCATCATCTCAATCTTATTATTCTCCATTTTAACAAACCTCTCCACGAAACTCCTGATCTCTGCCGCCAATTCCCTCCCTCCAGCCCCATTGTCCTCCTCCTCTTCCTCTTCCTCTTCCTCCTCACTACCTTCACTCTCCAAATACTCTTTCCGCTTCCAATTCAACGGATTCTGCAAAACCCTCAAAACCCTAGGATTTCCATTACCCAATTTCTTATCTGCCCCGGTCTTATTAACAATGTGATTGATACTCCTCGCCTTATTTCTCTTGCTATCATTACCATAATCCACATCCACTTCATCTTCATCATCACTGTCTTCATTGTCATCACTCGGATCAGATTTTTCGTACTTAATCAAGGCCATAGGCCTAGCAGAGATGGGTAACGGGCCACGTTCCATTCGGTCCATAAATTCGAAGTACTGCCAAGAATTGGGATAAGGTTTCTGTTTCTCGGATCGATATCGTTTACGGAGCTTTTCGATCTTGTGGCGGCACTGGGTGGCGGATTTGGAGGGTTCGTCATACTCGCAGCGAGCGGCGACGGTGATTGCGACTTCTTCCCATTGGTTAGCCTTGAGCTGACCTTTCTTGAGAGAGTACCATTTTTCTTGGTAGGCTTGGATGAGATTGATGGTTTCTTCGTGGGTCCATGGGATGGGTGTGATTTTCTTGGTCGGAGAGGTGGTGGATTGGAGCGGTAGTGGTGGTTTGGGGGAGTTAGGGTTTGAGGGTGTGCAAAAGGGTTGGATTTGGAGGTTGTCTGAGGTTTGGTCTTGGTCTTGGTGGGTTGGGGGTGAGGAGGGTGTGGCCATTGATTGGGGTGGTGGTGTTGTTCTGTTGGTAAATTAGGGTTAGGGTAGGGATTTGAGTGGGTAAAATGTGGTTTTGTGGTGGTTGGGTTTGGTGGCGGGTGGGTGGAAAGAGGCGGTGGTGATGGTGGCTGGTAGTTGGCGTGGTGAGAAGTGAGTTCTAAAGTGCGCCACGTGGATGTACGGAAGAATAAGACGTCAATGGACCCGGATCCGGACACATATAAATTCACCCGAGAAAAGTGGGCTTGAACCGAGGTTTTATAATTTCATCCAGGTTGTAATCATACTAGGCTCGCTTCGCTTGGTTGCCGTATTCGAGAGGAACTAAAGAGCCATATTGATTTATATATATACAATATTTGAATGGTAAAAGTTAATTGATATTAAATATAAGACTAAATCAAATACATATACTAATTATCTATTTTAATACCCAAAGTTAGGTGGCCATATTGTAATTTAGTTTAAAACTATTATGTTTTTATTTGGTTGTTTTATCCCTAAATTACACCTAACCCACATAACTCATGTCTCTTNTCATCAACGGGCAATATTAAGCCAATTTTAATACCCAAAGTTAGGTGGCCATATTGTAATTTAGTTTAAAACTATTATGTTTTTATTTGGTTGTTTTATCCCTAAATTACACCTAACCCACATAACTCATGTCTCTTCTCACAATAACCTTCATCATCAGTTCACTTCTCTTCTCTCATCTCTAATTTTGTTCTCAAAAATTGACCAACAGTACTAATTTTGTTTCAACAAATCAAATCTTACAATCCCAATTCCAGGATGCTAAACACAGCATTAGACTTTCCTTCTTTTTTTTTTTTTTGGTTTTCTGTTGCCTGAACAAATTGCATTAAAAAAAAAAATGGAGACTTTTTGGTTCTTTCACCGAGTCAGAAACTTTTAAGAGTATTAGGTTTTCAGTAATAAACAATTTCTCTCAATGATACTTGTCTCTTAATGATACAGCACACTAGTTCACCATCTATATTATCTTTTTTTCTATTATCCACTGTCTTAAACACTAGTAAAAAATTCTTCACTAAATAACCTTGAAAGTCAATATGGAGAGTGTAACAAATACAGCAGCCATCAGTTTTCAATCTGCGTCCCAACCTTTTTTTTTTNATATGGAGAGTGTAACAAATACAGCAGCCATCAGTTTTCAATCTGCGTCCCACCCTTTTTTTTTTTTTTTTTGTTGGGAGGGGTAGTAAATGAAAAGAGCATCTCACTTAAGAAAGAATTNACCTTTTTTTTTTGTTTTTTTTTGTTGGGAGGGGTAGTAAATGAAAAGAGCATCTCACTTAAGAAAGAATTGTCAGGTATTGGGAAATTTTATTAGTATCAAGCACCCAAATAGAGTTTGAACTTGAACAACAACCAACAATAAAAAAGCAAAGTTTTTCTATGAAGTCAAACGCTCAAATTTTTAATTGTCTCAGATATATGCAATCCACTGCCTCTGCTGCTGCAATTGTGTGTTTTTGTATTTAAAACAAGTGTGGTCAAGTATCATATTATGTACACAGAGATACAAGGAAATCTGAAGCAACCACACTGCACACTCGCCAGTCTCCAAGATCGGGTGGCAAGTTCATCAATCCACAGACTTGAGAACCTGGAGGAAAAAGCGAAATATATGGTGTGAGTCTGTTCTTTTTTTCCTCTTCTTTTTTTTTTGGTTGGGGGGGGAGGGGTTTATTAGATGGTGATATTTTTGCATCACTTGAAAGATTTACCTGGAGTGCCAACCCGCTGAATTCAATGACTAGAAACTCTGCGATCATTCAAGAAGTTGCACAAAACTTTCGTCTCAAATTTGGGTGAGAGGGTTAGAGGCCAAACAGGATCAGAGGTGAGAAAAGCATTCTCGAAGTAACCTTAGGAGAAATTTGTTTCTGAAATCAATGGCAGTCATGTTCCACGTGGAGAAGACTTGCAGCTTCGTATCCAACAAGTGTTTGTCTCCTGCAATTGGCAATCAATGTTGTCAGAGTTGGCATTAATACAGAACAGTTTCCTAAATATGAACTCAACCTCCACTCTAGCAAATATATGACAGGAAATGCCAATGACGAGATGTATCTCAAACTTGGAGAGGAATTTTCAAGCTTTTCTATTTTCTTCATCTACTCACAAAAAGAAACTTACATTCAAGCTGTTCACCCTCAACGATTCCAGTGAGACAGCAAGCTCCACTTGTTTTGATGCCGTTGCAAGCAGCGCCTACAATACAACACTTTAGTTTTACTAGGCAACAGTTAATTATAAGATAACTATAAGCACTTCTAAGTATGACAATAATCATTATAGCCCAGGCTTGAAGACAAGGAAAAAATCTTACTCTCTTTGTCTTCTGTAAATCGTATTCTATGGATTTTATACGATCCAATGACTCATGCAACATATTCTCTTTTTCTGGAGGAATGCTTGTTGGTTTATTTAACAGGTCAGATACCAAGGCTTCTAAATTTTGCAGCCTCTGCAAGCATGGATGGAGTAGGTCCTCTTTTTTATCCCGGGAATCGGGTTGTTCACGAGAACTCAAATCTGCCAACTCAGGTTTAAGTTGGTTCTCCAATTGCATGTCAACATTAGTCTTCACGAAGAATCTCCCCAAGCGAGGAAGTAAAAGATATATCCATGCTAATAGTTTGAGTATGAAGTCAACCACTAAACTTGTTATAGATTTCCTTGGCAGCCTCCATTGTGTAACATTACAGGTCAAATCATCTGTTGCAGGAGTCAGAGACAACACGTAAATGTGGGAAACAATTCATTTTTATTGTAACAGATTAATCTATTTGGCCTACAAAGATCATTCTGAAAGAAAATTTTATATAGATTCGGAGAGAGTATTCTGGCCAGTCTGCAAATGTGCCAGATGAAGCCTAGCGCTCATAAAATAATACAAGCCCCATAATCAGCATCTGATTCATTGTTAACCAACGATGCATACAAAACTGCTTGATGACAAATATGTTTGCTCCTAAATAATGCAAAAGACGTCAGTTCTTGATTATTAGAAACCCTATGGAAGAACACATCCAATTGCTCTCATTCAATATCACAGTATTCTCTCTCTACTGCTGCTTTTCAACATTATGACCTTCACCACTTACCAGCACATAATGGCAAACCAGGCCTAAGTGTTGACGGATTCAAGCACTTTGTCAGAAGTAAATCTAGTTGGATATCCAAATGGCCATGCCTACTGTTAATGATGTACAACATTTTATATGAATTCATAATCTTAAAATAGAACAGGCCGACTTACTTGCTGGACTAACATCCTCAACTCCAGCCCCACCACCAACTGGTTCCTGAGACAAGAAGGGCAGAAAGCAAGAAGATAAGAGTAGTTAATTCATGTTTGTCATACTAATGTGCATGAAAATGAACAAATCGTATGGGTCCACATGCAAACACAAATCAAACAGAAATCGCATCTTTAACTGCTTATAAACTAAGATATAGCTAAACATATTGTGCAGCAAATTCAAAGATATGAGGCAATGACATTAAATCGATACAACAGGGGTCATTAGCAACCAACCACACAAAAACTATGCAACATCTCCATTTTCACAGTCCAAGCATTTAAGAGTCCAGTTTATTTTCAAGTCAGTTAATGAGCCTAGGATGTTCTCAACAGTTGTCTAAATAAGGAAAAATTTCCAGGAACTTCTTGTGGTTGTCTTGTGACCTGGTTTTTCAGGCAAACTTCATTCTGCATACTGAATTTGTGTGTTCAAAAAGATAACAATTAAAATGGAACTGCATTGATGACATGAAGGTCCAAGGTGCCCAATCGCAGAATGAGAGGAACACATACATATAATAATGCATATACCCTTATGGAACCCACTGCTTAAATCCTTTATTCCGCAATCATTTGCAAGTATACTCTTCAAATTATTCGCACTATTAGAAATGATTGTTCTTCAAAAACATAAGCCAAATTGTAAGACCCCGGACTTGTCATTGTACGATATTTTCCACTCTGGACTACAAGACCACTGCAATCTCCTTGGACTTGGTTTATGCTTGATTTCACCCGAATGCTAGGTTCATCATACAATAAAGGTTCAAACTCACACTTGTAAGACACTTTCACACAATTCTCTAAGCAACGTGGGACAAATACATGGATTTAGTACCTTCATCCTACCTCATCCATCTTGGCCCCAAGTCTCAAGTCTTGGTTCTTGGAGTTGGGTCACCACAATCCACCCCCTTAGCACCACACGTATTCGTGTGGAACCCACCCGATATTTCATGTTGGTGCGAGCTATGATACCATTTTAACTCCCCAAACCCATCACAGCCAAATGTCGTCTATTGTGGAATATGTGCACCCGGTGTTAAAATGCGTTGTATAATGAAGGTTTTTTTTTTTGAACAAAGTATAATGAAGGTTCAAAACTCGTACTTTTGAGGCATTTTATATACACTTCACCAAACGTGGGATAGCAAATATTGACTTGGTAGCGAATTTACCTCACCTCTTTCATCTTGGTAACCAAGCTTCAGGAGTCTTGGCTCTACATCATTGTAAGCTAACAACTCAAGAATTTGTGTCACTAACAAATCAGAAGTATTTTCAGAAAGAACATTTCAGTTCAGAAGAAGTGAAGACTGGCCAAAGTCTATAAGTGAGAAGCTTGGTATTTCATGGCAACAGGCAAGGCTGAACCATCTACAATAAGGAGAAACTAACTGCAGAATGTTGGATTGATGAACAAAAAACGAGATTGCACCATCTTGGTACAACTAGGTTTTATTTGCTATTGGATGATTTTATATTAATTTCGTAAAGTTTTGATATATTGTAAAAATTTTTAATAAAACATTCAATCCAAACATCTCATATTTTCATTATTTTTTAAGTTATTGTTCAAACAGGTTTTACTATTTTCTATTTCTTAGAACTATTTTTAGAATTATATAACCAAACACTAGGCGTGTTTGGTTTATGTTCTGCAAAACAGTTTTTTGCTCTCAAAATTTTAAATACACCAAAAACCTGTTTACTCGGCATTTTTGTCTTCAAATTTTTGAAAAAAAATGAGATTTGGAGCAAAAAAATAGAAAACAAGCCACACNTTATTTTCTATTTCTTAGAACTATTTTTAGAATTATATAACCAAACACTAGGCGTGTTTGGTTTATGTTTTGCAAAACAGTTTTTTGCTCTCAAAATTTCAAATACACCCAAAACCTGTTTACTCGGCATTTTTGTTTTCAAATTTTTGAAAAAAAATGAGATTTGGAGCAAAAAAATAGAAAACAAGCCACACTTGTTTTCAGACTTTTCTTTGAAAATTATGAAAACGCGGAGAACTGAGAGAACACCTCTTTAATGAGGTCTGCCCTTCGATTCTCCTTAGCAGCCGGCTTCCTTCTTTTTTTTTTTTTCCTTCCTCTTTGTCTCTCTACACTTTGCCCATCAAACAGAATGAAGACAAGACCGTTTCTCCAGCTCTTTCTCCAGAATGAAGACACACACAAGGTCGTCTTCTCCAGCTCTCTCTCTCTCTCTCNCTTTTTTTTTCCTTCCTCTCTGTCTCTCTACACTTTGCCCATCAAACAGAATGAAGACAAGACCGTTTCTCCAGCTCTTTCTCCAGAACGAAGACACACACAAGGTCGTCTTCTCCAGCTCTCTCTCTCTCTCTCTCTCTCTCTCTCTCTCTCTCTCTCTCTCTCTCCANTTTTTTTTTTTCCTTCCTCTTTGTCTCTCTACACTTTGCCCATCAAACAGAATGAAGACAAGACCGTTTCTCCAGCTCTTTCTCCAGAATGAAGACACACACAAGGTCGTCTTCTCCAGCTCTCTCTCTCTCTCTCTCTCTCCACTTTGTCTCTCAGACAGAACGAGCAAAAGGGAAGCTTCATATCTTCTCTGGCGAAGCTTCAAATCTTCTTCAGATCTCTTCGACGAAGCTTCAGATCTCTCCATGTTGTGGGTTTCGATGTGCTTTGTGGGTTTGGTGGTGGTTGTGGGTTTTAGGTGGTTGCGGGTTTCGGTAGTATTTTATGGGTTGTGGTGGTGGTCGTGGATTTTGGGTGGTTGTGAGTTTTGGTGGTTGTTACTTTGTGGGTTTCAGTTCTCACTGGTGCTTTGTGGGTCTTGATACACAGTGAAAGAGAGAGAGAGAGTTGAAGTGAGACTGAAAATTATGGATTATTGTCCAAACAAATTTTATAATTTTTATTCTTTAAAACTATTTTCAAAAATATATAACCAAATAGGTTTTGTAATCTAAAAATTTTTAAAAACACTTTTTTAAAACTCTTCCCAAAAATAGTTTTAAAATATTATTTTTGGAGATGCAAACCAAACACGCCCACACTTTCCTAANCGGTAGTACTTTATGGGTTGTGGTGGTGGTCGTGGATTTTGGGTGGTTGTGAGTTTTGGTGGTTGTTACTTTGTGGGTTTCGGTTCTCACTGGTGCTTTGTGGGTCTTGATACATAGTGAAAGAGAGAGAGAGAGTTGAAGTGAGAGTGAAAATTATGGATTATTGTCCAAACAAATTTTATAATTTTTATTCTTTAAAACTATTTTCAAAAATATATAACCAAATAGGTTTTGTAATCTAAAAATTTTTAAAAACACTTTTTTAAAACTCTTCCCAAAAATAGTTTTAAAATATTATTTTTGGAGATGCAAACCAAACACGCCCACACTTTCCTAAAATTCTTCCCCAAAAACATGTTTTCAGATATTATTTATTGCAATGCAATTCAAACACACTCAAGGATCAAAATTTTGTTTCGGTGCATTGTTTCTGTCACCTAGGAAACGGAAACATTTCGACTTGTATCAAAAATGTTTCGACCCGTTTCGAAAATAGAATAAAAAAATAAAATAAAATAAAGTATTATGTTTTCAAAATATTGGTCGAAATATACCAAAATATCTTAAAATATTCTGAAATTATTGTGCAAATGTATTGAAATATAACAAAATATTTTGAAACCTTATAAAACACCTCGAAGAATTAAAATTTTGATTCTATCACTGAATTGTTTCGGTTTCCTTAGAAACAGAAACGTTGCAGATGTTTCGACCATTTCGAAACGATATTTTGATCCTTGAACACACCCTATGTTTTTGCATAAACAAAAGCNCGAAGAATTAAAATTTTGATTCTATCACTGAATTGTTTCGGTTTCCTTAGAAACAGAAACGTTGCAGATGTTTCGACCGTTTCGAAACGATATTTTGATCCTTGAACACACCCTATGTTTTTGCATAAACAAAAGCAAGTACATAAACAAAATGTTATCATGACAACCTGGTGGGGAAACCATTCTTCATGTGAGACCAAATTTTTAATCCTTCCATGTAGTCTTTGCTTATTGTGAACTATCCATTCTCTCTTCATCTCTAAACAAATTGTGATCAGATGAAATGGACGGAAGTCATTTATTCGTGACAAATCAGGTAATTACCTCACAAATAGAATGTCTACTTTATAATAATTAGATTCTTGGTCACACATAACTGAACATACAGTTGGTAGAGTAGGTACTAACTGATGTGTTTCCAGATCAGATCATGTTTAGAAACAGGTAAACACAGAATTCAATCATACTTACTTCAGCATCAAGTGGCATTACTTGCATGGCAGCATAATTACACACCCGGCCATCTGATTCTGAATCAGCAGAAATTATTCCACGTGTCGGAACCTGTGTGAAGAAGTAAAGTAGTGATCAAAGCATGAAGGAGAAAAAGATAAACAAAAAAGGGCAAGCGTGGTTTATTTATCAACATTTCACCTTAGAAGAAGCTGATTTGATTTCTAGATCATCACAATCAGAAGAACTAGAAATTTTCCTTGAATAAAATGCTTCCCCAACATAAAAAGCGTGTACCAGCTGCACTTCAAAGTTGGACAAACAGTCATAAAGTGGTTGGGCACAATAACATAGAAAGATGTTGAATCGAATGACAAGGACCACACCTTCATTATCTCTGGTTCATTCCATGGTCCCTTGTCAGATCTAAGGCACCCACCTTCATTTGGGCACAAGCAGGTTCCACCAAGAAACTCTGGCAATTGGCTGTTAAAAGAAAGGTGCTAAATGGAAAGCACAAAAAATAATCCCTAACCAGACCATGTAAAAGATGCACAATAAAAAAAATGAAACCCCAACCTTGGGTCTATAACTTCTGACAACCTATTCAGAAATTTGTGGCCTAACACCTGTGCAATCAACATACAGTCCATCACATATATTTTCCATATATAAGTCCAACTAATTTCCAAATAACAGTAGTACTCCTACATGTATTTTTGCCGTCGTCCTTGGATCAAGAAAGCCTTTTGCAGTGTTCCACAGTAGTTTAAATCCATTACCAGCATTAACAATGAACATCTGATGCAATGTCTGCAGGGAATGAGAAAATATCAGAAAGGTGGGCATCAAGCACAAAAAATCAGTTGCTTCTCAATATTTTTAAGAAATAAGAGGCACCTCAGGATAGTTGTCTCCATCTATTTTCTGGATGCGCATAACCAGATCATGTGCAACCTTGCCAAAACTCATCCAGTTCTGCATAGTCAAAAGTAATGAGAAGCACTGAAATTGTACAAAGTGGTTGGTTGATTATGAGCTGATCATACAATAATTGTTAAAGTTAATGTGTGTGTATCAAATATAATCTATAAGTGCACTGAATGGATTAGTAACCTTAGAACTCACCACCCCATGCACATCCAGTATTGTTGTTGTAGAACATATATGCTTCTTGACTGCAATTGAACATGCAGGAAACTTCTCCTTAAATGTTTTCTCAAACCCTTGGACATGATACTTTAAGAACCTTTCTACAGTGGTGACACTCATAAGCTTACTAGGCTCAGCTTTGCCAAGCCTTTCGATATAAAGTGGTCGCCCTTCTTTGTCCACGCCATGGAAACCATGAGGATAATAACGCTGAACTAGTTCATATTCATCATATACAAAGTCCTAAACATAGATCGTTTGCATTATGCATTTGTTAGGATGTCCAAAAGAAATAATTATACACAAAATACCAGAGATAAATGCTATCAATCAAACAGTAGCTGATAAAGATGGTTTCCAAAGTCCTTGTTTGTTATGCTCTCTTTTCCCCTTCATAAGACATTACGAAAAGAATATACAGATAAAATAAGTCTTCAGAAAGCATACAAAGTAGTAGGGAAGCCACACTCCACCAATGATAATTAAAATAAAAAAAACTTCAAACTCCTAGAAAAAGTGAAACCTGAACTTATGAACATCTCTTCGGAACAGAAAAGATCAAGTTATCAATAACATACTCCTTTACGGCTTCTATTGAAATCTTTCACTCTCTACTAGCAATTCTCTCCTTCCTAGCAGCAACATGATGAACCCAATAGAGTTGTCAAAAAAGGGCCGATAATTCACTAATTATCCAGGGAAAACCTAATCTTCTTGATCTGTCTTTCTCATGAGTCATGACAACAACATGAAATCATGGACATTTCAAATAGCTGAGTGAGGAAGCATTCGTCAACCAATTAGCATTCAATACAACAGTCTCATCAGGAAAAAAAAAAAGCCAAACTACCATAAACACCATCTCTTCCTGTCAAGCAAGAGGTAAAGGAGTTGCATCACAATTATTCGCATTGATATCAGCCAATATCATCTCAGCCCCACCATAGTATTATGTACTAGCTAATAGAAATCGATTCACATGCAACAAACTCAATAAGCAGAAAGAAAATTTGTGGTGAAAACTGAAAAGTAGACCTAGCTAAACATCAAACTGTATGCTATTCGAAATCGTACTAAAGAAGGTGGGGAACACTTTTAGACCTAAATTAATTTGTTATGGCATCTTAGAACTAATACGAGAAGACACAATGAACTGATTGAAGAAAAGAAATAGATCTTAATTTAATTGGCATAAAACCAAGCCTTCCACAAATTGCTTACCACGAGACCATCAACCATGATAGGTCACATGTAGGGCTGATAATCGAATCAAGCTGCTTAGGCCCAGCTCAAGTTCAAAGCTCAGTTCGTTTTTTAAACGAGCCGAACTTGAACAATTTTTTAGGCTCGTTAGGCTCAATTCTTTTATATGTAAAATAGTCAAAGTTACTCAAGCTCGACTCAATTCGAACTTGGTTCGTGCTTGGATTATTTTCAAAAAGAGCCCAGCGTGAACATTTTTTGGCCGATAATTGAGCTGAACTTTGTTAACTTGGGCTAAATCTATCGAATTCGTTTTTCTAAACAAGCTTAAAAAATTATTCAAACTTGATTTGTTTAGAAAATGTGCAGCCCAAAACGAGCCGAGCCCAAGTAGTTTGATTATTTTATATATAAATGAGTCACGCTTCGAGAGCTCGAACCAAACTTTTTAGGCAAAAATTATTCAAATTCGACTCATTTAAAGAATAAGCCAAGCCTGAACCAAGCCCAAAACAACGCGAGCTGAGCTCAAGTAGTTCGGCATGATTATCAACCCTAATATTATGCACTTCCCAAATGAAAAGGCTTCACAACACTAAGACAAAAGGCAACTACGAGTCTATTTGATTCATGTGGTAACCTTATGAATTATGCCAAATTTTTCCTTGCTTAAAATTCACAAGTCAATTGTTTTTAGGGAAAGTAATTCACTGTGTCAATTTATTTGGCAAAAGTATTAATACATGTTCAAGTCCAATACACATAGCAATTCAATGGCACTAAATTTTTTTGGGTCCTCCTGCAAGCGAGAGGACAGAGCAGATTGTTCCACCCAGACAAGTGGAAGTAAATGGATGCCATGCAAATGGAGTCCAGAGAGGAATGGTCAATAGTAGATGAACTTCACATGTAATGTGTCCACAAAACTATGGGTTTTTGTCAATGTCCCCCATTTAGAAGTTTTTCCCAACTCTTCATTATTTTAAAGAAGAATGTACTTCCTTCTTTATATCNAATAGCAATTCAATGGCACTAAATTTTTTTGGGTCCTCCTGCAAGCGAGAGGACAGAGCAGATAGTTCCACCCAGACAAGTGGAAGTAAATGGATGCCATGCAAATGGAGTCCAGAGAGGAATGGTCANCCAGCTCAAGTTCAAAGCTCAGTTCGTTTTTTAAACGAGCCGAACTTGAACAATTTTTTAGGCTCGTTAGGCTCAATTCGTTTATATGTAAAATAATCAAAGTTACTCAAGCTCGACTCAATTCGAACTTGGTTCGTGCTTGGATTATTTTCAAAAAGAGCCCAGCATGAACATTTTTTGGCCGATAATTGAGCTGAACTTTGTGAACTTGGGCTAAATCTATCGAATTCGTTTTTCTAAACAAGCTTAAAAAATTATTCAANTCAGCTCAAGTTCAAAGCTCAGTTCGTTTTTTAAACGAGCCGAACTTGAACAATTTTTTAGGCTCGTTAGGCTCAATTCTTTTATATGTAAAATAGTCAAAGTTACTCAAGCTCGACTCAATTCGAACTTGGTTCGTGCTTGGATTATTTTCAAAAAGAGCCCAGCGTGAACATTTTTTGGCCGATAATTGAGCTGAACTTTGTTAACTTGGGCTAAATCTATCGAATTCGTTTTTCTAAACAAGCTTAAAAAATTATTCAAACTTGATTTGTTTAGAAAATGTGCAGCCCAAAACGAGCCGAGCCCAAGTAGTTTGATTATTTTATATATAAATGAGTCGCGCTTCGAGAGCTCGAACCAAACTTTTTAGGCAAAAATTATTCAAATTCGACTCATTTAAAGAATAAGCCAAGCCTGAACCAAGCCCAAAACAACGCGAGCTGAGCTCAAGTAGTTCGGCATGATTATCAACCCTAATATTATGCACTTCCCAAATGAAAAGGCTTCACAACACTAAGACAAAAGGCAACTACGAGTCTATTTGATTCATGTGGTAACCTTATGAATTATGCCAAATTTTTCCTTGCTTAAAATTCACAAGTCAATTGTTTTTAGGGAAAGTAATTCACTGTGTCAATTTATTTGGCAAAAGTATTAATACATGTTCAAGTCCAATACACATAGCAATTCAATGGCACTAAATTTTTTTGGGTCCTCCTGCAAGCGAGAGGACAGAGCAGATTGTTCCACCCAGACAAGTGGAAGTAAATGGATGCCATGCAAATGGAGTCCAGAGAGGAATGGTCAATAGTAGATGAACTTCACATGTAATGTGTCCACAAAACTATGGGTTTTTGTCAATGTCCCCCATTTAGAAGTTTTTCCCAACTCTTCATTATTTTAAAGAAGAATGTACTTCCTTCTTTATATCCCAGGGTTATGTTTTCAGAGGCACTAGCAAAGTCAAATGAAAGTCAAGAATCCAAGGAGAACTAAAAATGGTGATAGCATGTTAAACACTACCATGCCATCTCAAAATAAGAAGCACAAAGTTTGGTGAACCACCACTCAATCCCCCCCCCCCCAAAAAAAAAAAAAAAAAAAAGAAAGATAATTAAATTAGAAACTGAGATTAATATGGTAATTTTATCATTGAAGCACCCGAATAAATGTAAATTAGACACTAAAGCTCCTTTTGACTAAAGCGCGACCTAGGCACGACACTCCCGCCACTCCAGACCCCACATACGAAGAGGCTAATTTTACAACTCAAACCCTAGACACCTAAATCACAAGGGAACAACCTTACCGATGCGCTAGGGCCCACCATTTGATTACGTATGTTTATTTGAAACCACAGGCAATGTGCAAGAAACCCAATTTTACTTTTGGTAAATTTACCAAGGGCTATAGTCATAGTGATCCTCCTATTCAACTACTTCGATCATTTCCGAGCACCTCATAGTATTTTCAAGGCCTCCGAAGAGTCGATCATTTCTGTATGATTTCTCGCGCACTGCCCCTTCCAATGGGTTTCGATAACGAAATGGAGAGACACTTCACAGTGTCATGCAGAGCAAACCACTGGGATAAATTCCCAGTAATAAGTACTAATCTGAACCAAACATGTTCGCTCACAACCCTTTTCAGCACTCAACACTACAAGCATCTAAGCCTCATCATTCACATGTCATATCATAGTACATCCTTACTTGTGTAATAGAGTCTACTCCATTGTCTTTCCTCCAGTTAAGCATCTCCGCCCACATATGCGCTGTCTTATCAAGGTCAAACTTCCTCGCCTTTAAGAATCTGCGGAGAGATTTGTGTTTCATCATAAAGTTTGATTACCATAGAAGAAAACAGAATGACAACAAAGGAATTTTGAAAGAGACGATAAATGTAAAATAAAAATTCTCAAAGTAATCAGGCTTCATAAACAATTAAGACTAGTCCCACAGATAACCTATGGATCTTGTTTGAACTCTGAAATTGGGTGAATTAATAACCATACTGGAGGACTGATAGCTGAAGTAAAGTATATGAAACCTATGGATAACTTCATAAAAAAACATTGGAGAAAATATTATCATGCCTATTTGGAAAGAATAGAAGAGAGGAGAAAATTAATGGGGAGAGAAGTACAACAATGGATGGATTAAAAGAAAAGAAATCCCGGACAACCCCCAAAAAATCTTCATGAAAATAGGTGACTCAAGAGGATATTGAGAGAAAACTACAGAACTTTTGCTTTTCTTTTATGCATTTTGGAAAGAAGTTAATTACCACCGTGTATCACTGTGACAAAAATATGCTACTGGGTTTGCTAAAGTTAGGTAAGGAGATGATAAACCTTGATCATTCCTTAGTTCCTAAAAGTGTATAATTATTTAATTACGCAAATTTGCAACAAAAACGATGCTCATGGTGGTGAACTACCCCACAGAAAGAGACCAATCTGATAGTACCTCGTTGCCCAATAGAATAATAGATGGGTTAGAATGCTTCAGACAAATTCTTGAAGATAGCAATGGACTGCAAACTGTCCAAAATTATTGCCAACCATACAATAAAGGTTTACCAAGTAGGAATTAATGGTCTAATGTAAACTTGATTCATAGTATGCATTCGAGTAATAAATAGTCCTCAATTCAATTGCAACCCAGCAAAATCATTCAATCCTACTCCCACAGTGAATATTACTCAAGCTTCATTGTCCAAAAACCTAAGCAAATACTCTTTCATAAACTTGAGAAAGAACAAAACAAAATTCCCAGCCAATAGTCCATTCAATGTTTAAACAAGAGCATTAAGTCCAAACAAATGATAACCACTAAAATAAAGGTAAAGCCCTCTGCAGCAGTGGTTCCGCAGGTCAAAGAACTTTTAAAGCATAACGGAGCACTAGACAGAATACCAAGCAAGGTGGCAAAGGTTCTAACATGGAGGAGGTGGTTCCCATCTGTATTTTACAAGGCAAAAGTAGATACATGCGTGGAAACTGAAGAATTGAAGCATGCCACAAACGGATGGTCCATCTTTGATATTATGCACTGGGACAGAGCCAGGAATTGAGCCCAGGGTGGGCAATTCAATTACAAGATTTAATTAAAATTTTTAATTAATAAAATAAAATACTTATATTTTCATTTCAAATGAAAATTAAGAATGCAAACCAAAAAAGCTATAAAAATCCAAATAATCGCAAACATCTTGGATACTACAAAAAGCATTGAACATTCAATTACAAACTAATCGCAATGCATATAATCAAAAAATAATATTTAAGCAAGTAAACTAATTAAAAAAAATATGGGTACAAGGGCTAAGGATTATCGAAAAAATCATGAAAAATGTTGTCAACTCACTAGACCTTACATAGAGGCAATACACGACTCGATGAAAGATCGCACAGTTGTCATTCACGTTTTCTTTCTGTTTCTCTCTAACTCTCTTAATTCGTCCTTCAATTTCGTTAGTGTGAATATTATCATTAAATTTAATATTTTTGTATATAGAATCTTTCAAGGGTAAAATCCTTGCTTNCTTATTTTCTTTCTGTTTCTCTCTAACTCTCTTAATTCGTCCTTCAATTTCGTTAGTGTGAATATTATCATTAAATTTAATATTTTTGTATATAGAATCTTTCAAGGGTAAAATCCTTGCTTTTTATGTACTTGCAAAATGATCATGTATTTTACTACATAACATTCTTAATTTTTATAAAATAATAAAATTATAAGTAATTTATTTTTGAAGAGAAATCACAAAATGAACTTAGATGTGTTCAAAACTTAGCCAAACATGTCCTAATGTGTTCATAGTTATTTATGTATGGGGCCTATATGAAAATCATAGGGTGGGCACAATAAAATGTATATTAAAAATACTTTATATATAAAGACATATATATATTAATATACACATAGTTTTTTGCAGAAAATTGAGGGTCTTAATATACACATGGCCTTAAGGTAGTTCCGTCTGTGAGTATGCAACAAGTAAACCAAATACATTGCCACCGTTTCATGCAACACTCCTATGATATTGCAACCATTCTACTTTTTCCCACCCCAACTTTGTAGATTTTGCTCGGAGGTTTTTGTAGATTCATAGCCAATAGCATAAATGAAACAAAGAATATAGTTTTGCNTGTCTGTGAGTATGCAACAAGTAAACCAAATACATTGCCACTGTTTTCATGCAACACTCCTATGATATTGCAACCATTCTACTTTTTCCCACCCCAACTTTGTAGATTTTGCTCAGAGGTTTTTGTAGATTCATAGCCAATAGCATAAATGAAACAAAGAATATAGTTTTGCAACCTATCCTTGAGATTTCTATCTAGTGTCCATATAGTAAGTGGCATCTAGCAAAGTATCCAGAGCATCCCAAAAGAATCCAATTTCAGAAACAGGGACAATATAAGGGGCCTCACCATTGATTGCCTTGAATCTCTATGAAATCCCCACTTAGTTTGAGAAGACAGAAATTTGATATCCCACATGTATCTTGTTTAGAGTTTACATCCCTTACGTCTAGTCCAGTTTCAATAGACCTTGGACTTTATGACAACAATTCAATAGGATAGCTCCATTCCTCTATCTGAAAGGGACTCTTGTCCACCATCTCGCCAAATAGACTTCAAAAAGTAGTTCAAAGTATTGTAACACCTCAAAATGGACAAAACCTAACATATTACCTTAGACCCTCCAATCAATTTATATTCCCATTTTGTTATTCTTCATAATAGTCTGGCCATCTTTGGAACATATTTCAAAGTATCGGCCGATACCGATATTACTCCACACTTTCCATCTAATTAGGGTCTAACATCTCTATGAATTAAGAGTCTTACGCGATTTGGTCGAACTGTCCGAGATGTCTCCGAATCAACCTCGAGATGACTAACGTTATCATCAAATCGACTAATCCTATTTCACGATGCCGCTCTATGACCTAAATCTCTTATCATATTATAACTTCTTCTGTTATCTAGCATAAACCTACTTTCTGTTGATCGTAACCTGGAGATTCCAAGTATGCCCAGCTATAAAATGATGAGGTAAGTCCATCATTCATCAACACAATTGTTACCCATCAACTTTTTTTCTCAATACATACAACTGCAATATGGGAATACCTAGCCCCCTTTAATCTCACCATCTGGATAAACAGTTGAGACAATTACTCACAGTTTCACATTGTGCCATATAAGTGGAGAGCAAAAAAACATGGAGATGATTCATAAAATGAAAGCCAACCTTGTTGCATTTTGTTACAAACAAATTAATAATGAAAATCAGCCAATAGTTTCAGCGTGAAAAAGCAAGAGAAACTCTCACAGATCAAAGATCGAATACAGCCGGACTTTCCATGTAGTTTTCTACTAATTCACAAACCACTAACTGATTTTCAGAATTTCATATGTATCTGAATCAACAATACNTGCCGTCAGTAATGTGACGGAGGTTATTAGGCGTTTATGCGTGGCCAATTGGGTGTGAAGTGTTGTGCAAAGCGTGTATGTGTAATGTCTCCACTTGTTTTGATGCTTCATTAATTTAGGAAACCAGATTTGGGTGGAAGGGGAAAAAAATTAATTGGGTCTTGCCGAAATTTATTATAGAAGTTGGGTAAGTTTTTTTTCTTTTTCAGCTTATAGATTTTTTTCATATTGAGTAAATATTAGGTAGACAAAAGGTTGGTATTCGAATTAACTTATGCACATCTTGATTAATTTTTTTTTATCTGATTAAAATAGATCATTTACTTCAAGATTAGAATATTCATAAAAGATAAATCGTTCATGACTTATCCTAAAAAAAAATTTAAAAATTTGATCGTAATTTTAAATTTATAATTTATTTATGTTATCACTTGACCTAGTCTTTAAAGTTCAAACTATAAGAGGTAGGTCACTGTTTGCTTAATTTCCATTTTTCCATCATAAAAGCTTCCGTTTGGCCAAACTGTGACCACTTAGAAAGGCAAATTTTCAACTACAAACGCTTCTTCTAGTTGAATGCATTNGCAACCTATCCTTGAGATTTCTATCTAGTGTCCATATAGTAAGTGGCATCTAGCAAAGTATCCAGAGCATCCCAAAAGAATCCAATTTCAGAAACAGGGACAATATAAGGGGCCTCACCATTGATTGCCTTGAATCTCTATGAAATCCCCACTTAGTTTGAGAAGACAGAAATTTGATATCCCACATGTATCTTGTTTAGAGTTTACATCCCTTACGTCTAGTCCAGTTTCAATAGACCTTGGACTTTATGACAACAATTCAATAGGATAGCTCCATTCCTCTATCTGAAAGGGACTCTTGTCCACCATCTCGCCAAATAGACTTCAAAAAGTAGTTCAAAGTATTGTAACACCTCAAAATGGACAAAACCTAACATATTACCTTAGACCCTCCAATCAATTTATATTCCCATTTTGTTATTCTTCATAATAGTCTGGCCATCTTTGGAACATATTTCAAAGTATCGGCCGATACCGATATTACTCCACACTTTCCATCTAATTAGGGTCTAACATCTCTATGAATTAAGAGTCTTACGCGATTTGGTCGAACTGTCCGAGATGTCTCCGAATCAACCTCGAGATGACTAACGTTATCATCAAATCGACTAATCCTATTTCACGATGCCGCTCTATGACCTAAATCTCTTATCATATTATAACTTCTTCTGTTATCTAGCATAAACCTACTTTCTGTTGATCGTAACCTGGAGATTCCAAGTATGCCCAGCTATAAAATGATGAGGTAAGTCCATCATTCATCAACACAATTGTTACCCATCAACTTTTTTTCTCAATACAT